AGCAACACACATCGACATAATCAATAATCGGTACAATAAGTGATTGGACAAGTAAAATCTTGGTATTGGTGGGAAGAAAGTTTTTAAATCGATATAGAGATCGCAAAGTTCCAGTAGTTTTGCGACTCACCTTCTGTATATGTTTGTTCCATGTTGAGACACCATCGATGTACAGACCAAAGTTCTTTACGTTAGTAAAAAATGGTATGACATTATTATTAAACATAATTGATGGTAAGATTATCGTTTGGCATTTAGACGGGTTCACGTTTATGACATACACAGTAGACCATTCTGAGATATATTTCAAATCATCATTTAACAGTGAAATAACACTTAGGATATTTGAAGGCTCCACTTGCGCATATAACTGCAGATCATCAGCATACAAATGGTAAGAGCTCTTGAGATTTAGTGTGATGGATTTATAAAAATGGAAAACAGAAAAGGAGAGATAATACCGCCTTGAGGGACGCCAATTGACACATCACGCCAGTCAGGTAGTATATGACCAGTACGCATAGCCTGTTGGCGCCCTCGAAGAAATGTTGAAAACCATTCCTGAGCTGAAGACGAGATATTCAAATGAGAAAGAAGAGGTAACAAGATACCATGATCGACAGAATTAAATGCATTAGAAAAATCAATTAGGATGAGAACAGTCAGTTTTGATTTTTCCATCCCCTCACGAATATCTTCCGTAACCTTGAGAAGAGCAGTAGTAGTAGAAAGACCCGGGCGGAAACCAGACTGAGAAGGGGAAAGAATATTCTTTGAGAAAACAAAAGCAGAAATCTGTTTATGAGCAACAGCTTCCAGAACCTTGGAAAGAAAAGGCAGAATAGAAATTGGTCTGAAATTAGATAAAGCGCTGCATTCAGTAGCTTTCATGATGGAAATAATAAAAGCTTTACGCCAGAGAGTTGGAAAAACACCATTCGTCAGCGAAAAGTTAATTATATGAGTTATCACGGGTAAAACAAAATCCAGCACGTGCAAAACCATTACCCTACTCACATCATCACATCCAACGGATTTCGATTTAATAGAGGAAAGTGCTTTGCGTACATCGTCTTCGTCTACTGGAGTAAAAGAGAAAGTTTCATGGGAATAAGGAGGCATAGAAGATATAAAAGAGATAGCATTAGCTCTAGAATCATCAGAAACTATTTGAGAAGACAGAAAATGATGATTAAAATCGTCAGGAGTAAAGGTGACGCTATTATAGTCAAATTGCGATTTTCCATATTCAAGCGTATTCAGAAACTTCCATATATCAGCCGAAGATGAATTAAGTAGTTGTTCGTGGATATATCGGCGTTTAGCAGCTCTCACCATCCGATTGCATCGATTTCTTGCAGCTTTATATGCTTGCCACTTTACCTCAATGCGATTCTTCCTGAAAGCACGGAAAGTTCTATCGCGTTTAGCCATAGCCAATCTTACCTCAACCGTGATCCATGGAACAGGAGGACGCTTCAATCGAACAACACGTTTAGGAGCATGTTTATTACATAGTCCTAATATGTTGCTGTTAAACAAGTCGACTTTTTCATCAACTGTGGAAGCAGTATATACAGATGACCAGTTAATAGCATCTGCATCGCATTTAAGCTTGTCCATATCTATTCTAGTAAGACTACGAATAGAGATGGACACAGATAAAGGCTTGGGAGACTTTAATTTATATGACAGATAAAGCAGGTCATGCCGTGAAAATCCAGAAGCAGGGAATTGTCTATAATTGACAACGTGATCAACGGAGGAGACGGCTATAAGGTCAATCTAGGTGTCAGCAGAGTGAAAGTTGTGATGTGTTGCATTTAGAGGCAAAGTAGTGAAATTGTGCGACAACATGGTCGATCTCAGTTTCGAAGATTTAAGAGAAACTCCAGATAGGTCAGTGTTAAAGTCTCCCATGGTAATGTGATGTGTGTAGGCAGAACTGTAAGGCAATAAATTTACTTCCAAATCGGAGAAATAGTCCACTTGATGTGGACAGTAGACAACTCCAAGAAACACTTTGACGCTCTTGACATTAACTTCAACAAAAATGTATTCCATTGAACCGGAATATAGAGAAGATGTGTTTAATATTTTATAAGGTAAATTACTACCAGTGTACCATATTTACCAGTGCGGTCATTACGGAGTTAAATATAACTTGGAAGACTATAAGACGTGGAAGAGAGTTCAGGCTTGAGCCAGATTTCGGATATGAGTATAGCATGAACTGCATTAGAAGAGAATGTATCCAGGAGCTCCGTATGATGTTGTGGAATACTTTATGCATTTAAATGGCAAATGTGAAAACAGTTTAACAATTTTTGAGATTCGTCGTATATTAGCGTACGTAGCGTAGCAGGCTCATCCGAAGCATCAACAAGTGAAAGGGAAGAGGACCTGTTGCAAGTGGAATAAAAAGATTCGTCATCTGAAATTAAACAAAATTACATAAAATAATAAAATAATTAATATTATATAGTAAAATAATACTAAATATAAATAAATATTTAAAATAATAAAATTATATCAAATAAATGTAACTGAATATTACAAAACATAACTAAATATAGATGTATATCTCAATACATCACCCTCCGGCTAACTGTTTACAATCTTAAAAATAACACCAGGAAAGTAAAAGAAAACAAATGCCAAGTTAAAACAAAATAGAAAAAGAAAATCAATAAACGAGCGAAGCATTTAAAAGTAAACAACTAAAGAAAATATAATAAAAAACAAATTAATAAATAATTAGGCTAGATTATTACATATAACTAAAAGTTGAATCAAATATAACTTGTGTACATATTCTGTCAATAGTAATGCTAATGTAGTTAGTATGGCAACAGGCCATGCAACCGAAGCCAACAACATAACCATCTGTCTATGTCATCTGACATCTGTGAAAATATCTTATGTTATTATATTATAGTTATAATAGTCTATAGTAGTATAGTAGTATAGTATATAGTAGTAGTAGTATAGTAGTTTTGCTGAACTAAGACAAAAGTCTTAGTTCAGCAAATATTACTTAGGCTCAGAAAGGCTAAAACCCAGAGCCGTAAAGCCAGTTAATAAAAAAAAATAAAAAAAATATTACTTAATATGTAGGTAAACAAAAGTTATTATGCTACCATTATTACAGTATCGTAACAAATATACCCAGTTGTTATCAATAATAATAAGACAAATAACAAATATACATGACGGCTTACAAATTAAATCCAACATGAGAATAAAGCGAAGTCGATGAGAGTTATTTGTTGTGAATATATGCGCTTGGACCTCACCGTCGATTTTGGTGCACTACCACTGTTAACATTTGGTGACACTTTCTTCGTCGTAGAATCAGATGTTCGATCCGATGCAGCAGGCAGTTCATATTGTGTAATGAGTTCATCGAGGTCCTTGGTGTCCGTCAGCCGATGGCGCTTACCACAAGGCAACTTGACGTGTATATTACCATCGAGTGACCAAACTTGTCTAATACCAAAGTGCTTACGTGCAGCAATGAATAAGCCTTGACGCAGACGAGTAAAAAACTCGGACAGCACATATGAAGTGCCTTTTAACACAGTCTTTTTGGCCCAAATGGTTGACTTAATGGACTGATCAATAAACCGAATCAGAACTGGTCTTGCACGAGCTTCCGATACTGCACCTACACGATGGCAAGCCGTAATGGAGCTTGAAGAAAATTCCTGTAGTTGAAGCTTATCCTGCAGGACAGTTACAACTTTATTTAAGATGTTTTCATCAGATGATTCCGGAACTCCATTTAGCAGCAAATATTTTCTGCGATGCTGCATCTCAATATTGTCAACAGTTTGACTAACCTCATTGATCTTCTGGTGTAGTAGTGACATGATTTGCCAAACATTACCCTTAAACGCTTGAAAGTCGCTTGAGAGAGATTTTATGTCAGGAGCTGTGGTGGCAGATTTTTTATAAGTGCTTCAAATTCCGCCATACGTTGATTGAGAGAAGTTAACGCAGCCTTTTGGATATTTGCTAACTCGGCAATAGTGGATATTTTATTGAAAACTTATCTTCTGGTGTGTTGTGAATGTTGAAAGTGACCGGTGGTAGGGTGATGTAACTTTATCACAGTTTAACCATTAAGGGGAGTTAAACCCACAATGTATGTATTTAAATACACAAAAATAGTAAAAACTGTAAACTAGGAAAATGTAAATTACTTAAAATATCAATAAAAATTATTTTGTTACTTAGAGCAATGTGCACTTTATTTCACGCCTACCGCCAAAAAAAACCCTTAATTATCCCTGTATGAAGTTAATTTCTTAATAAAACATCTTATAAAGTATTATTTCGTTTACCAAATGGCTTTAAATATTTACTCAAGACACTTTAATCAGCTATACACATTATACACCTTGTACAAAAAGTTCCAGTTGGCATCTTGAGTCCGCTTAGTTATGAAATATTTATGAGCTGAAGTGTTTACAGTTTCAAACATAGCTGTAGCTACTTTACACGAATTTCCAAGGTACGAGTAAAATTCAAAGAAAATAAATGGTTAACGATAATTTCTAGCGAGCAAAAAGTCATCGAGAAGGTACAAGTTGTTGCTTTGCTCTTACTTTGTCGAGCTATTTTAAATTTCTGGTTCAATATATACGGGATTTCACATATTCATAAGAAAAGTTAAAACGCTCAGGAGCATTACATAGCCTCTTCGAAGAAGAGAAGAGGCCCGCGGCGACCCGTGAGACGTATGTAGGCTGTAATTTTGGTTTTGGCTGTGTTTACTTCTAATCATGAACACCATATAATTTTACAAAGTAACTATTTATAGCTATAATCAATAATTTAGATATCGCGGGAATCAAGTTTGAGTCTCGTAACTATAATGTAAAATGTAGGCCGACCAGATATTCTATGTGCTACCATCCGGCTCCATCAATGAGTACTAAATAATGTCAAATTATTATAACAAAACCAACATTCTTAATGAAAAAGCCTTTTTACAGTTACGATGGTCGAGTAAAGGGGCCCTCAGCTCACTGGGCAGACGATACTCTAGCAGGCCGCGCACGATGGCTAGCTACACCACACTCTGCTCTTCAAATACGTGACGTGGTGCCATCAGACCGCGCCCTTTACCGCTGCAGGGTCGATTTCAAAGTGTCCCCTACAAGAAACTATAAGTTCGTGCTCAATGTGATTGGTAAGTACATTTTTATTAAGAAATTCTTAATTATTGCCCTTGATACTTATTATGTAAATTGTGTTACGTTTCATGGTGTTCCTTAATTATTTACTTGGGAAATAACCTTGGTGTAATAAAACTCGAATAATTTGAATGGACAACCTTGATTTACAACACATCAAGGACTTATGGAAACTTCACAGTTTACATATTGTTTTAAATGCTAAGAAAATTGCAGAATATTAGGACGTTAAATACGCTTAATTGTATAATGTAACTAGTAAAATCTAAAACTGTTTTGATATTAATTCATTATTCGGCTATTGTCTATACATACGATCGAACCTACATTTACGTCTAGATAGCTTCGATTAATATGGTGTTATTGATATTTAACTTAATCAATAACCAATTAAACTATTTTAATATTTCTTTTTAAAAAATCTTTAAGTCTTTGGGAAAAAAACATAGCCCAGATCCTTCCTGGTATTGCTTTACATCAGTTCGTTATGTTTCATCACAGTCGGTTCATCCATTCCGAAGATAAACTTGGACAGACTGAGAGACAGACAGACAAATATTTCAAAAATATTGATTTAGTCGTACATCTTATTATTATGATAATAGGCCCCTGAGCTTGATAGAAGCTAGCGTTTTCAATATTACAGACAAAAAATTTAATTTTATTAATACGTTTAGATTAAATCGGGAAAGGATGACGGTATTAACTTTGCTTTTAGAATCAGTTTGAGATTCAGATGAGCTAGGAATTAGCTTCCTCCATTTGTTTTTGGTGTACTTTTTTTTTCTCTCTCATCTCAGGTTTTTTTTTTTTTTGGGGGTGCCCCCCATGGGGGGTTGTGTGGTTCTGTTCCCCCTTACCTATAAAAAAAAAAAAAAAAGAAACCTTAGGCTTAATTCGAAGAGAGTATTAATAGTCTATAACTATGAATAGTTCAGTGAACTGAGTGAAATATATAAATACTCAACCAAACCGTTTCTAGCATAAATGGATAATGATGACGTCAACCGAATGACAGGTTCACTTGTAATAAATGACAAATAGCTACCACTGCATTAATTTATACCCTGCAGTTAACTCTAAAACAACACGTTCAGGTTATTTTTACTGCCACTCTCGGAATCAATTGAGTGTTGGTTTTGAAATCTATAAAAAAAAACGTCAATGAAGAACCTAATGTTAAAGTGGTTAAATATACATTAAAAAATCACAGCTTATTTAGCGACAGAGTGCAGTAGTATTTCTTAGTTTTATTTATCTAAATGACCACCATTCGGAAGGAAATCCACTTGTTGTCTGTATCGGAGTCCTTACATATCAAATGAATTTAAGTTTCGCAGTCACCTGGAAGAAAAGTCCAAGGTGTCCACAGAGATAGGTATACTAAATAGATCGGGACGGTATTGAACATAACAAACCACTTGTAAATTTTTAAGGCGCAAGTTCGAACTCACGTGGAATACTGGGCCCAGGCTTGGTACCGGCCCGGGTTGGTGTGCCAAGATGTAGCCTGTACCGGAGTAAAAAGTGCAAAGAAGTGGAAAAGAGGCCCGAATCATCATAGACTAAGTTTTTTTCTGATCGGCTTGATGGCTGAATTTAAGTATGGATATTGTATAAGCCTTTGTATTTCTTATCGTCTTTTGCATTTCTATACCATGAGAAGTGTAACGTACCCGCAGCTATAAAAACATTGCAAGGGCTTCACCAAAATATCACTAATAAGGAAGTTAAAATTTTCAAGACTTCTTTAAACTGATGATAAGTAATTTCCGTTTTAGCAACACATACATCTTGTTCTATTATCATTAATATTAAAAAGGCAAGCCATATATACACCCTTGTGATTTATATATTTATTATTTGATTTAAACACGATCCTTTTTCTATATCACTTTTCGTCGAATTTTTCATTATTCGCAATGTTATAGATATACAGTTAATTTAATCCTGACATATTATGAACTTTCTTTTTCCGCAATAAAACGTTCTTATTGCCGCTATTCCATCGCTGTACTGAGTATTCCTACATCTAATATATATCTACGTCTACTGGAGGTCATTAGTATCACTTTTGTTTTACCAATATATTTATAAATTATTGTACATACTTACCTACTTTATATAAAATAATTTTTAACAAAACTGTATATCGCATGTAACTAAGGACCTGAAAAATATAAACAGAATCTCTTTATTACTGCTTTCGCAAGCACCATTTTGGCAAAAAGCCAAATTGAAATATGTCTTTCTTTTTTCAACATAGTATAATATCAAAGTAGATTCGAAAGCTACAAAGCTACTAGTAGCAAATATTGCAAAGTATTTATTAATTAAATGCAAATGTATTTGCAGTGGCTTCAGAATAATCCCCATTATATTATTAAGAACAATCCCCATTAAGTAATTCCAAATCTTGCCCATACTATATATACACACTTTTGTAAAATGGTGCAATATTGCTTTCGTAGTAATTTAGAAGAAAAGTCATGGGGGAGTACATCTAAACGTATTCGTTATCGCTACTTTAAAAAGTAACCAAACTATCTTTATAATTTGCTAAACTATATTGGGTCCAACTCATTGCAACTTCAGATAACCTCTCAGTTGGACTATGTTGGTTGTTCTGAAGCGGATATACTCATTTCGAATTCTATCATGCAGAAAAACTCCGATCATAACACTCTTCTTAGCTCACTGAGCGAAATTACTTGAAACTAAACACCTGTTTTTTTTTAAAAAAACAATATCTTTATAATGGAGTTTGAATACGATTATACATCACATAAAAATAAATCCAACGCAATGAACGGTTTTCCACATAAAAAATACTGAAATACTGTTATCACATAGCTTGGGGTCCTATATAATTTAGATTCGGATTTTACCTGAAATCTTTTTATTTCAGTATGTACGATCCGAAGAAATAACTTTAATGTACGTTTGTTCAGACTCGGTTAATTTTTCCCGAGCTGGAGTAGCCTTTGCCTGAAGTATATAGTACAAAATCAATACACTTGAACAAATAATGGTTAATCAACTTTTATTCAAGTAAATATGTATTAAATAAGCTACAGCAGCCTGATGTTACGGTTCTGCAAACTGAGAAAGTAGTGCCTAAGCTATTCGACTACTATAGTGGACTACTCTTTTTATTCGCAGAAAAATCCTCATGTATAATTTTTGCTGCAATGGCAATAAAAATGTTATGCCAGACTCCTATCGGCTAAAACACTAAAGTGGTCATCATCAGTGCATGCGAGGTATCCCGAGAACTCCGTTTGGAACATAACCTCGGCGTCCCGTTCGCTTTGTTAGTGTTGCAAACCATAATTAATACCCCTAGTGCCATCTAGTGTCGGGTAGCAGAGCAAGGAGAGCTTTCTAGAAAATTCCATGCTAGAACTTTCCAATTCCAGTGCCATCTAGTATCAAGTGGCAGAACTATGAGAGAACTTTCTCCACTTATTCAATCAAATTTTGGAGCGAAATAAAGTGAACTAAAGTGTGAAGTGTGAATGATGATTAGTGTGATTTTAGTTTTAATTGCTGTTCAGTAATTAAAGTGTCAATTTTGTTAATTCAATCGGTAGATTTTTATGTCACGAACCTTAAGCTCGTAAAAATTGGTGTCAGAAATGGGATCAAATTATGCCGATTTTACCGAAGGACGACAAGGATCGTGTCCGTACCCGAAGTCAACGCCAGCAGGAGACGGGCCATAGAAGATTTGGTGGTGCAAGGCCACAGACGTTGCAGGGCCAACTGCCAGCCACAGAGGCTGACCCATCAGCAGCTCCTACACCTGCACCAACTGACTTAGGTGCTCTCATGATGATGCTGCAGGAGCAGGCTCGCCGACAGGAGCAACAATCCTGTTGATTGAAGGAGCAGCAGGAGGAACACGCCCGCCGGCAGGCGAAACAGGCCCGCCAGCAGACGGAACAGGCACGCCGATTGGAAGAGCAGCTGCGGGGCGCACAAGAGGAACAGGCCCGTTGGTTGGAAGAGCAGATGCTCCTCATGAAGGACCTTCACGCTACCTTCGGAAAAGAGATAAGGGAGGTGAAAGATAGGGTTGCTCAACATGACAACCGCCTGTCTAAAACCCGAATCGACCAAGTGAACAATCGGGTTGACAACGTGATGGCTGACGTGAAGAAAACGCTGGACGAACTCAAACTTGGGGATGGAATTACAGCTCAGTAGCTACAACACCTTCACTACGTGGAATCAAAATGCCGCCGTTCGAAGGGAATTCTTTCTTGTCAGCCTACAAAATCCAGTTCAAGGCTTTCATTGAGGTGAATGGCTGGAATAAAAGTCAGGCTATGACTGCATTCACCTTAGGCCTGTGCGACTAAGCCTTGACTGTGTTGAAGCACTTAGTAATAAAGTAACTTAGTAAGAAAGTAACTTACGAGCAGCTCCTTGAGGCATTGGAGGCAAGATATGGCAACGCTCATCTGGAGCACGTCTTTCGTGCACAGCCTTAAGATCGCGTGCAACGCAGCAACGGAAACCTGCAGCAGTGGGCCCTTGAGGTGGAAAAGATGATACCAGTCTGCACCTGCGCTCATTGAAGGAAGCCTGGTGCAGACATTCATCGACGGCATCCGCGACCTTGAAATCAGAGCTCCTGTGAGGCTCGGGCACCACGAGACGCTTAAGGGTGCCTTGGCTCATGCACTGGAGGTGGAAGCCATGCAGCAGGATCATATTTCCATTGCGTCAGAGAGGTTGCAGCAGCTACAGTTCGCGATTGCAATAAAAAATATAGCCCTAGGTGCTACGGCTGTGGCTAAATCTAGCTGCCCTAAGCGAACTGTAGAAAGGGAAGGTGATCGATTTCGAGAGGGTAGTGCGGCTTACAGCACCACCCAGCAGCAGCAAGGAAACGAGTAGAAACCAGGACTGCGGGGAGGGTGCTGGCTGATGTTAAAAGGCCCCAAGAATATCGATCTCACAAACCCACGATTTGAACAGCTTAATCATCAAGAGCGAGATCAATGGAATGACCATAGACACTGGAGCCTCTCGCACAGTTGTCAGTTCCCAACTTATAAGACAGTTCCTTGGGGACTTCGCTTACAACCAAAAACGCTTTAATTTGGTAACGTATACCCGTCCGCGGAGAGGAGATGGAGTTGACCCTAGACAACATGGTCTACCTGCATAATGTCACCGTGGCTGAAATAATGGACGACTGCATCCTGGGCCTAGATTTTATGAGGAACAATTGTTGTGAGATCGACGTTAAGCAAGGTGTTTTGAAATCTGTGTGTGAAATATGGAAGGTGTGTTACCAGGGAATGTGTACAGCATTAAGAAGATTGTTTTTCCGCCGAAGATCAGAAACGATTGTGACGGTTAGTCTTTCTCAGAATCCTGGGCAAGCTTACCATTGTGAACTCTTGGAAAAAGTAAACAATGACCTTCCACGGAAAGTAGCCTGAACCTTGGTCAGAACCACTGAGATCTCAGGAGTACGTGTGCTGAACCTTTGTGACCAGGAACAGATTATAGAAAAAGGCAAATATTTGATACTTGTGAATTGGTTGCGTAAGTGCCAATATCTATCGAGTGGAACCCCCAGCAAGGATGCACAAACGAGAGTGACTACACTTTTAGAAGACTATCGCTGCGTTCTCCCCCCGAATGAAATGGTCAAGGCGAAGAAGTTGTTACTCAAGTACGCCGATGTATTCTCGTCAAATGACCAGAAGTCTTTGCAATTTCAAATCAAGAAGCTTCAACAGTTACAGATAAACAAGTTCATGAAGTCTTCTATCGTTTTGGAGTACCTTTAGAGATTTACAGCGATCAAGGAAGGAGTTTTGAGTCTTAAATATTCCAAGAAACTTGCCCTAAAATCTGATGGAATGCTAGAACGGTTCAATCAGATACTGGAGAGGTACCTAGCTAAAGTTGTAGACAATCGGCAACGAGGTTAGGACAAGCACATACAACCATTTTTGTTATCGTATCTAAGCGTTGTTCACGAAAGTATATCAGTGACACCAGTTTTCGCAAACTTTGGAAGAGAATTGCGGCTGCCTGCAGACCTGATCACCGGGATACCACCTGATGCCCCATGCAGTATAACCGATTATGCAAATGATCGAATGACATTTATGAGCATGTCAGACAATCGGGCCAGCAAATGTTTGAAAAGATGAAAACCCGGTATGACCGCAAAATGAACAACAAGGGGTTTGAAGAAGTTTCAATATTATGATTGCACAATCCAGTCCGCAGCAAGGGGAAATCTCCTAAGCTTCAAGCTAACTGGGAAGGACCGTACCGGATTGTGACCAGGATCAACGATGTAACCTACCGGATACAGAAAGGTGCAAGAGGTACTTCTAAGATCGTCCATGTGGATCAACTGCCGCGTTATTATGAGGCAGATAATGCACGGGATGAGCATTTCTAAGGAGGGACTTATGTTGAAAGCTATAATTAATACCCCTAACGCCATCTAGTGTCAAGTAGCAGAACGAGGAGCTTTCTGGGGCTTTCTAGAAAATGCCATGCTAGAACTTTTCATCTCCAGCGCCATCTAGTATCATGTGGTAGAATTAGGAGAGAACTTTCTCCACTTATTCGGTTGGGACCGGTATTTGCTGGAACATTCTAGATGTTTCGTTGTAAAAGGCCTATATAAATCCTTTTGGGGCCGCGACCTGGGCAGTATTGAATTGGCGATACGAGCGAAGCTTTCTTAGCGAAATAAAGTGAACTAAAGTGTTACATGTGATTAATTATTAGTGTATTTTAAGATTCAATTGGTGTTCAGTAATTAAAGTGTCAATTTTGGTAATTCAATCGGCAGTTTTTATTGTCACGTACCTTAAGCTTGTAACATTTCATACACAATTACCTCGTCCCAGGGGCAGTACTTGATGTCCCCAGTACCTGCGCAGTGTTACCACGATGTTTCGAGACCACCTCCGAGTCATAGCCCTCCTCGGCGGTTACATTACTTGGCGTTCGATACCACCGTCACCAATGTCTGTAACCCCAGAGGGCCCGTTACTGGAAAGGAAACAATGTTATCAAGACGAGGTATTTAATAAACGCCTTGGCGACGTGGTCCCTAAGCAGAATTTCGATTCAGAATTCCCAATTATGCTCAACAGTCACCTTTTGGATCGTTACGGAACCACAGAAAGTGATTATGGCCCTTCACGCCTAATCCCCGTTCACCATTTCGAACATAACTGGCAGGAAAAGGTTCTCTCCAATCTGCTTCACTAAAATCGTCAGGTCCCATTCCTACGTTAGACAAAACGCGAGCGTATGAGACGCGACGTCCTGGTGCAGCACCGTAGAGGAAACAGTTCGCCGTCACCTTGCGTCTGATATTATACAGATAATTACCGATGCACCTTCGGTAATTATCTGTGAAATTCTATAGGTGAGTTTTCTTACTCGTCGCTGTATCCTAGATTTGAAAACCGGCAGGATTGCTCTAAAGACGCGCCTGCTTTTATAGCGCTCCTCGTGAAGTCCAGTGTGCCATGTCGCTAAAGCTTTTTATCATTTCTGCCATTTAATAGATTCTAGCTCACTACTACTGCTCTGATGGTCATGTATCCAGTCGTACACCTTCGCCATGTCCATTCCATATCTGGAAAGTATGTCTAGAGGTAGCAAGTGAACTGGGATTGTCACTACCTCCAAAGGATATTGTGCGGTTCACTGGCTATATCTGTACGGCCATCTTCTGGAAACTGTAGAATTTAGTTCCTTTTGACAGCAGATTTGACAGCAGTCTATGTATAGCATCTTCTACCATTTAGATTCGGGGGACTAGGCACTTGAAATTTTCTTCGAAGCCTCAGCGAAAATCAAATACGGGTTTATTGTAAACGCTACGCTTAGCAGGCAGATTGACGATCGTGTTTAGCACCATCGACGCTGTTACTGGTCTAGGTCATTTATGTATGTTGTTATTATATATACATATATATATATATATATATATATATATATATATATATATATATATATATAAAGGATGTCTTGAGTGACTGACTCACCTATCAACGCACAGCCCTAACCGTAAGACAGAAATCTGAAACTTGGACAGTAGCTGCCTTTTATAGCGCAGGCAGGGATCCACTAAGAAATGACGAAATGCTTTATTTTGCTTATATATTATTTTCCAGCGTGGTCAATATTTAACAATTATTATTAATCGACTGATTAGTATCTACATATTTTATATTAATTAACATATTGCTTTGGAATACTAAATCATAATATTATTTATTTAAGGCATTTTATGCAAGATGTACTTAATATAACCTATGAAAATTAAAAAAGCTATTTTTAATTTTATTAGGTTATATTAAGTACACATTGCAGTTAAGTAACACTTACAGTCCATATATGTTCCACTGCTGGGCACAGGCCTCCTCTGATTTTGGAGACGGTAAAACTGGGCAAGGAAGTGTCCGCCGCGCTGCCCCAATACGTGTACGGAATTTTATCTTTAATTTCTGTTTTTTCTACACAATAATTTCCTTCACCGCCGAGAACGTAATAAATCAGCAATTATAATTATTTACGCCAATTACCTTTAAATTTTAATGTTTGTTTCAGAATTGCCGGAAAAGCCGAAAATATTTGACGAGCAGGACAATGAAATTGTGGGTGTAGCTGGGCCGTACATAGAAGACACTAGTCTTAAACTTACCTGTGTTGTAAGTGGAGGTAAAATTATTATTCATGACGTTATTTATGGTATTGATGTTTTCCTATTAATTTTAATACTTTCCCATTATTATGCGTACTGTTGAAATCATCGAGCCTAACTTCCAAAGAAATACCTTACTTTATAAAATAAGTGACCCCATTCGTATAGAATTATCCTATTTATTTATACTGTTTAATTCACCAACAATAAATACACCGTGAAAAAAAATCTACTATCCGTCTGGTGAGTGTCGTAAGAAGCGACAAATGGAAAATGAAACAGGAGATGGGCAGCAGCTTCTTCCTGATATCAAAATTATAACCCGCCTGGGGCTGGTAGCGGCAGTTTGAAGTGTGACAACTTTGACAAAATTCTCGCTTAAGAGGAAATATGTGGGTTTATGGCCCCTATGTTCAGAAGTGGGGTTTTATAGTCAGTAATTAATGGATGGATGGAATAAAATAAATGAGTAAGTAATAAATTACTTAAGTAAATATTGCATTTTATTAGCGTATTTGAATTTTTTGTACAACTTACAAGTTTTCGTTTGTTTACACAGAATATAATCAAGTGAAATGACATAAAATATTAAATTGTTATTATCAATCCAAATGAAAAATTAATATTCTCCTTTTACAACCAGTTTGTCGGGAGGAAATCGCTTAAAGCGATATGATAACAGTCTGTGGTCTATAAATGTTTCCGTTATTATATAAGATTTTATAATTTTAGATGCAGTTAAGAGATCCGCGAAATCCAACTTTGAATCCTTATACAAAATGTTTATAACACAGTTTAATGTGTCATTGCACTATATTGCTTTATTAGTACTTAAAACGGGTTTTTCTTTTTATTTACACCGAAAATATTTTAATATTTTTAAACAGTTGCAACAAGTCTATTTTAATGTACATTTGTTTACAAGTAGTTGTAATCTTTATTAAGAGTTAAAACAATATCACTTCTGTTGACGGAGTAGCCTGGTGATCACATAGCACAGGACAACCTAGTTTGGGCACCAGTCTACCACCTAGATCTTATTTAGTTAGTATTTATAGCCGTTATTTAGTTGTATAAGTTTACTAATACTAAGATTATTGTAGTGTACCGATAATATGTGGAAGAAAATAAATACTACTTATTATTATTATTTTATTAAAAATAATTATATTATTATTATTATTATGTGGGGTATCTATATAGTTATCTCATCTGGTTGGGTTCTTTAAATATATAATTATAAATTAAAATGAAAAGATAAATATACATAAATATAAATAAAATAAAATAAAATACAAAGATACATAAATAAATAAAAGCCCAACCAGATGGAAGTCCTCGGCAGGGGGAGACCAAACGGCCGAGGGTTAGGAGGAAAGGGAAAGAAACCGGCGGACGATGCGGGCGGTATCGAGGAGCACCGCCTTCTGCATTTAAGCCCGGAGCGGTCCGTCACGGTAGTCCCAGTCGCCTCAGATGACCCGAGAGGCTGACTGGGATTAGCCCATTTGCAGAGACGACTACAGGAATAATTTCGGCCGGCATACCACCCCACATGTCGGTCACCTCGTGAGCCGGGTCCAGATATTTTGTTCGTTTATCTGTTTCGGCTTTCACGAGGTTCTCGTCATACGGAATGGTAATGTCGACCAAAAATATCTTGACTGTGCCCGGTCCATCAGCACAAAATCAGGCTTATTCGTATGAATAGTCCTGTCCGTGATGATGGCCCGGTCCCAGTAGAGCCTGGCGCGGTCATTTTCGAGCACGGATTTCGGCAAGTACTTGTAATACGGCAATTTCCGTTCCACGAGACCGTATTTCAGAGCGAGCTCTTGGTGTAGAATTCTGGCTACTAGGTTGTGCCAGTTCAAGTACTCAGAGTTATAAAGCGCCGAACAACTGGAGATCACATGCCTAAGTGACTCCCCGGGATGGCGACAAACTCGACAGATGTCGACAGTGCCATCCTTTAGGATGTATCTCCGATAGTTGTTGGTCTTAATAACCTGATCCTGTATTGCACAGACAAAACCCTCGGTTTCCCCCGAAGAGGTCACCGAAACGTAGCCAGTTGAGGAAGGCGGCTGTATCTACGTGGGGCTCATGTAGAGCCCTGTAGTACAATCCGGGTAGCTCTTTCCCCTTCCATACGGTCTCCCGGTCGGAAACGCTCTGTACTGCCGGGTTCTTCCATTGCTCGTTGGCTAAGGATAGAGGGGTAAGTCCCTTTATCACTAGAAATGACGTCATTATAGAATGGATCATCCGATCTCGCCAGGAAGTAATCACGGAGGCTGCACACTTCGAGATTATGTATGGTGAGCGCGCTCAAGAAGCCACGCCCATCATGCTTTCGCGGCAAGTACAGCCTCATTAACGACGATCTCGGATGATGCATCCTATGGGACGTCATTGTAGTGCGGACTTTTCTATCCAGGGCGTTTAGTTCAGTCTGACTCCACCTGAGTATGCCAAAGGTATACATGAGGACAGGCATGACCCAGCCGTTATATACGTGTGTCTTATTCACACCGGACAAAACGCTGTTAAGCACAACGCAAACTGACTGTTTCATAACAGCCTCATCGATACCGATGTTCTGTGACATACCCAGATATCGGTATGTTTCAGCCTTCAGAAAGGGTCCTTAAGTTGACGGGCATAGATAAGTCTTTGCCCTCAGAATTAGCAACCCTTCCCCTTTCAACATGGAGGACCGCACACATGTCCGTCCCCAGCTCCATTCTAATAGAATTGCTAAATTCACAAGTGATGTTTAGCAATTTCATAAGATGGGAGCGACTGGAGGCAAATAATTTGAGGTCATCCATATAGAAAAAGTAGGTCATTTTTTTACCTCCTTTCCGAAACTGGAATCCCCTCCCCGAGCCCTCCAGTAAAGTACTGAGAGGGTTAAAAGAGAGGCAGAACCAGATTGGTCTCAGACAGTCGCCCTGGAATGTACCCCTTCTTATCCTTATGCTGCTTTCCGCAGCCATCATCCGCTCGCCTAGATGACAGAGGATCGTACTCCACTCCCCCATACACTGCTCGAGGAAGTCTCGAACTGTACAGTCAATCTTGTACATTGTCGATGACCCTCTTTAGCCATGTTTGGGGCACCGAGTCAAATGCCTTTCTGTAATCTATCTAGGCGGCGGAGTTGTTCCGACGGTTGCGTTTCACCACTTTGACAATAACCGCGTCAATGAGGAGTGGTTCCTTGGTTCCACGACCGCCGCCCCAACATACATTTTAAGCGCGCGAGATCACCTGATTTGAGTGCAGGTGACGAGTGATTCTCGCGCTCAAAATGGATGTAAGTGTCTTGTATATGGTCGGTAGACACGTGATTGGGCGGTATTTGCTCGGGTCTGTGGCACCCTGATCTTTAGGAACCAAATGAGTGATCCCAGTAGTGAAGAGGCTCGGGAGCGACTTCTGGTTGAGAGCCTCTTGAAACTGTCGAGCGAGCACAGCATGACACACCATGAACCCCTTCAGCCAGTAGTGATGCAGCCCGTCAAGCCCCGGACTATTCCAGTTCGGAGCCGTACCGACTGCCAGAGCTAAGTAATCCGGCGTTATGATGATGGGGTCCATGGGCGTAATACCCACACACTGACTCGCCACAACTTCCGTCCAAGGGCCCTCGTTGTGGTTTACGGGCTCTGACCACAGGCTGCGCCAGAATGCGACCGTTTCGGCCTGATTCGGTACTAGGCCCGTTCCACTTACCATTGGTCGCTCCAATGATTTATAGAGCCTCTCTGATCCCTCTGGAAGAGACGATTCTAGTTGAACCGTGTCGACCTCTCGGTATATCGCCGAATCCGCTTTCCCCAAGCAGCGATTCTCTGCTTCAGGTCGTTTATGCGCTCGGTCAGTTTTTGCATTATATCCGGCTGGTAAAACTAACATTTGTCCAAGCAAACGCCATCCTGACGGTACGCACAATCCTTGGCCTGGTATTGCCTGACCTGAAAAATATCAGTCTGCCAATGAGGGCCCCGGCCCTTGCGATACGTTCTTCAATTCTTGTTCTTCAGGCTGGGATAGCTATACTTTGTCCAGTAGTGCGTCTAGCCGTGGAAAGTTTGGCGCCAATAATACGACAGACTGCCAGTGCGGCGCCAAAGAGAAATGAGTCCATCTCGCAATGGTCCCGGCTGGCTTCCAAATAGGTTACCAGCATTGGGTTCAGAGCCCTTACGATAGCCCGATTCCGCTTGCTGAGGGCTATGCGGGGAAGTCGCGGTCGATTTTCGAGAGGCGTACTGCGCGTTTCCAAAATCGCCTCATCCAATGTACTCCTCATTTGCTCCAGTTCCAGTTCCTGGGCGACTGTTCCATCATCGTTTGAATCAACCAAAACTGGGGTATTCAAGGCGGCATCCACGTTTTCCGATTGCTCTGCAAGTTGTGGCGCCGCATCCTCAGCCGTAGCATTTTCACCCGATGAAGGAATAGCCTCACGTCGTAGCCGTGCGAGTTCGGTGACATCAAATGTATTTGAGCGCAAGATATACCGAACTCGGTCTGCCAGGTTTTGCTCGGTGACGGTTACAGATGGCTCCAGCTCAGCAAAAAAGTCGATGCATCCTTGCCCGATACGCAAAACCTCCAATTTCTCCCCTTTTCGCCCTAAAATACGCCCGCAATGTGTTGCTGTTCATTTGAGTTGTCCAACGCATGCGGCGTGCTCCACCAGTGGCGGGTGCCGATTGCTGGGCCCGCGAAAACCCGAATTATTATTATTTTTGGTTTATTAATAGAGTAATCACATCTGGTATGGCTGGGTAAATATATAAAGGGAAAAATAAATATACTTAAATATATATTTAATATACTAACATAAATAAATAAATAATACATAAGTAAAGAAAAGCCCAACCAGATGGATGCCCTCGGCAGGGGAGACCAAACGGCCGAGGGTTAAGGGGAAAGGGAAAGAAACCGGCGGACGATGCGGGCGGTATCGAGGAGCAACGCCTTCTGCATTTGAGCCCGGTGC